GCGGCGCTGCGGTGGCCGGCGCCCGAGACACAACCGCGCAGCCCTCACGGACAAGCAGCCAGGCTGGCCGTGGTAGCCTGTTACTCAGGGCCTGGACTGCGGCCTGAGACGCGAGAGCTGCAGCTCCCACCCCTCCTCGGCTCTCCTGCTGGTGCCGGCGGCATTTGCCCGCGTGCCGGCTTGGTACAGTCCACTGCCAGCAAGGCCGTGCGCTGCAGGTCACCTCAGGGATCATGGGAGTGAGCAACTGTACACTGCACTAGATGAAAATAGTTTTTCCAGATTTCACCTGTGGAGCTGGTTCCAAGCTATGAGGTAGCTCCCCTAAGTATTTCCAAGTCAGGCAGCTTTCACCTACCACTGGGAAGTGGAGACTGTGGCGCAAACCACTGCTTTCAATATCACGCTCATCCCAAGGTCAAGTCACTTGGAACAATGTGAGCATTTGTGATTCGATAGCCTCTTGTTTAGAAGGCATCGTGATCTGCGCGTGCCGAAGCCTTTAAGTCCTACAAAGATACAAGCAGCAACTCAAGAATAGTAACAAGAACACAGGGGGATGGAAAGAAGGAAAAAATGGAGACTTTGGTATTCAGAAGTTTGCTTCATTAAGCAGCTTGATCCCAAGATATCCCTTGGAATCCCCAAAATAACTCTTTTTGACAATGCAGCATGCTCAATTCGATGCAATACATATTTTAAAATAAAAGAAATACCCCACAAAATGAGCCTGTACTTATTACTTAAAGGGACATCCACTGTCACATGGCTTTTCCCTCACCAAGACACCAATTTAAACAGCCATCACATCCTTACTGCATCAAATAGCAAATCTAGCCTTTCCCCTCAGGTATTACCTCAACTCCTCCCATGCGTGTTCAGTCTGCGTTAGCTTGACAGGCCCTAACAGCACGTGCATGAGGTGAACGACTACAGTCTGAGCGGCTTCATCGTTAAGACACAGAGCTCAAATAGCGGCTCTTCTGCCACGGCAGCAAGACATAGTGTTTTCTCTTGCAGTTATTAATGCCTTCATACAGTAACAGAGTGATTCCTGTTGCCATATGGGGATATCTCCATATAAGCATCCCCCCTACTTAGCAAGCTAGGTCCTCTGTAAAAGCATGGCAATGCTTATCATGTTCACTGACATTTCATTCTGCTGAGCTTTGCCCCTGACAGGTGAGGTTTTGGAATTGCTTTTTACCATAGGGAACAAATTCAGCTGTGTACTGGCTTCCCAGAGATTACATCGAAGACAGACAGATTGCAGCAGCTTGCTTTTCTGCTTTAATGACTTCCCTTTCTCTGCTATAACAACTGGCAACCACCGACATACTCCAAATACTAGGATGCTTCCCATTCTTTTCCCGCCAGAAAGGGCTGCACATGTTTTAAAGAAGGTCAAAACACTGAAAATGAAGTGTCATGAACCGTGCAAACAGAAGGACTGGTCAGCTTCAGGACTGGTCACCTTCAAAGCTTTCTTCCTTGTTAAGTTACTTCACGCTGTCCCTTCATATAAGCATGGAAACAAGATCTTTGATAACCCAGCTTTCCCACTGCATGGCTTCTCACCACAGGGAGCTTTTAAGACAGATTCAATATCTCTCTAATCTTCTCACGACCTCAACCATCATCTTTCCTCAGAACTTCCCATTTTGGCACAGCCTCTCTCACTGGGTTCAGTTGTTGTCTATTAGCCTGTCCCATGAAAGACAACACACTCCCCTCCCAACCTTTACCAAATGCCACCTAGAATAAAGCCCAAAGGACGTGCCCTTGTCCAAGATTCCCCCTCACCTGCTTTAAATCACTTCAAATTCAAAATTATTGTACTCGAGTGGATTAATGACTCTCATCCTCTATCTGCTTTAAGCATATTATTGCCAACCTCACCCTGCTGAAAAAATGAAAATATGAAGACGACCATTTCAAGAGAAACTCTGTTCAACCATCTCACTTGGAACAAACATATGCAGGTGTATCACAAGGAGAAAAACAGGGTAACGACTGCCTAGCCTACAGTTTTAATAGTTCTTCTCATTCTATGGTCGAAGAATGCAATATTTACAGAGACAGACAGTAAGTGCCTG